AGCGGGGACGGCCAACCATTCCGCCTTCCTTATTGCAGCTCCTCTCTTCACTGTCTTATAAAGAAGGGCGCGCCAATGAGAAAGGTGCTGCAGTTCACTGTCTCCGCCCATAAGATAAGCGAGAAATCTGCCTTTGAATGTGTTGCATAAGAGATTAATACGATAATACGACATCGCGATATTGCGTTGACGTGTTCCTATTCATTTCACCCTGCTGGGAACAAATCTTGTGTGCTCAGTGAAGAAGAAAATCTGACATTGAAAGTCCGAAGCTGAGCGCGTTCGCGTGGTCAAACGGAATGGTGAAATGCTCTGTCCACTATAATCGTTGGGGCGGGGACGGTCAATCATTGTGCCTTCACCATTGGTCTGCTCCCTTTCCTACAAGTGAAGGTGTGGGACGCGTCTGTAAGGAGGAGACAGTATACGATTGTCTCCGCCCATTCGATTAGCGTCAGCTGCGCCTTCCCACGATGTGTGGAAACTATTATTTTATTTGAATCCGAAATCCTCTTAAATTAACCAGCTAATCTTCCAGTTCATTGGCTCTGCAATCAAAAGGGCTTGGAACGCATTGCGTACCCACTTCGGTCCATCAGGAAGCTCATCACTTGGACTTCAAAGTACGTGCGGTGCTACTGTACCACCAATAGCACTCCAGCAGCTGTCAGCGATGCAACCACCGCAGAAGCCGTCTGCTCCGTCTGAACCGGACGATCGGGCGAGCATGACTTCGGCTCATGTAAGTTGTCATTGTAAAAGAGTTTGACCGTTATTGGAATCGAATTTGTAAAGAAATTTTTGGCGCTGTTCGGGTTGCTGTGGGCATTTTTCCATCGATCACTGCCGATTCATGCTAAGGAGATCTGTAAACTCTTTTAAGGGGATGCAACAGCACGAGCTGACAAGAAACTACAGGTCTTACCAATGTGAGACGAATAATCTGACAGGGATTGGCAAGAGAAACCTGCGACGAAAGTGCAAAATTGCACCTCCCCCACCCCCTCCCGCACCGAACAGCGCTAATTTTCCCGATGAAAACTGTACGTTTTCTCTTGTTTAGGTGGAGAATTCTATTGTGCATATGACTCCTGACGGAAGTGCTCGTGTTGACGTTAGCAAGACGAGTTGCTGGAAGTGGTGATACTCCGCCAGGGATGAGCAAGTACTCATCGACTGACTCTG